ATGCTACGAAGGGGCTACATACTTGATGCCGGGTGTCTGACTAGCTACGAAGTTTTCCACGATGTATGCAAGCACCCGACAAGCCGCGTGCAGGTAAGCTTGTTCCATCTCGTCATTACGAAACCATTTGTACATCGGCTGCGCAGGTCTTCCAAGTCTAAACCTTAAACCTTCGACCTTAAGCCCTATTCGGATTTGCAAGGTGCGTGATTTCCCAAGAACCCAAAACAGTAAACCCTAAACCCTAGAACCCTAAACCCAAACCCCCCCAGAGCCCTAAACCGCTGTTAAGGTCCCATGGACCATGCGATCCGAGTCCAGGAAGCGCAGCAGCCTCAGGATGTGGGTTTAGGGTCTAGGGCTCTAGGGTTTTAGGGTTTAGGGAGGGTCCTAGGGTTTAGGGTTTAGGCTTCTAGGGTTTAGGATCTAGATCTCTTCCATGGGGAGTGGGGTTTAATGGGGGTTTTAGGGTTCTCTTAAGGTTTCGTCAGGGGTGGAATTCTACAGGAGGGTTTGCGGTGTGGGGCTTGGGGTTTGGGGCTTTGTATCCATGTATAAAAATGTATATATACACAAAAAAGTACATATGTACGAATCATTATGCGTGCATATATATATATATATAAATATGCATACAATCATGTACATATTTGTTTATTTATTTGTTTACTTATTTAGCGCTACGGCAACCCTTCGATGCCCAATATCGCTAAACCCGACAACCCCCCAAAACCTACAACTCTGCAGGCCTAAACCCTAAATCCCCAAACCAACCCATCAGGCTTTAACTGGTCTTCTAGAGTCCTTATAAAACCGCCGAAGCCTTAAAGTAATTAAGCATAGAAGAACCCTTGATCGCACCTTCAAAGAATTCCTGGAACTAGCTATCCCCCGCCCACTGGCACTCCCTAAACCCTGCACCCCAAACCCAGCAATCTTTTCCTTCCGAACTGAGGCAGCTGGCGCATCTGGAGAACCGCGCCGCCGAACACCAGCAGCGCATCTTCGGCTCCTTGGGATGTATAAGGCTTTGGGTTTAGGGTTCAGGGTTTGGGGTTTAGGGTTTCGGGTTCAAGGTTTAGGGTTTAGGGTTGAGGGTGTGTGTGTGTGTGTGTCAGGGGTTTCGGGGTTTTGGATTTAGGGTTTAGGGGTTAGGTTTAAGAGTGTGAATGTAGACACCTGATTAAGAAACCCTGGCCCTATAGCCCAAAAAATTATAGTCCCCCCTCATAAAGACCCAGGGTTTCTTAGTCAGGTTCCTATACTGTTCAGTGTGCTTAGGGGTTCTGGGGTACATAATGGTACGACTTGATGGGGAATGTAAGGGGTAGTGCGACTATGCCTTTCTTTGGGGGTTCTTCAAGGGTTCTACAAGCATGCTACAAGGGTTTCTACACTACGGCTCCGTGCGGTTTCCTTGGGATGGAATTTCGGGATTCATCTAAGCCCTCAGCCCCAAGCCCCGAAACCCATCCAACCTAAACCCTACGCCCCGAACCCCAAAACCCTTAACCCAATCCTTCTTTGGCTTAAGCAGTATTCCTTCGCACCTGCCCCAACCTTGGTGGTCTCCGAAACTCTGAAAGCCCTTAGGCCGAGTTTTCCGAGACCAGAAAACCCAGACCTCAGAAGCGCTGAAGCAGTGGGCAAAGCTTGTGAGGCTCTATCAAGTGTCTGATAAAGCCCTTAGCTTCGTCCCCGGTGACCCGAAACACCAAACCTTCCTGAAATCCTGAGCAAGCCCTCTAACTCCTAAAACTCTACAACCATAAACCCTAAACCCTAAACCCTAAAACCCTTAAAGGAACCCTAAACCCTAAACCTTTAAAGGAACCCTAAACCCCTTAAAGGAGCCCTAAACCCTAAACCCTAAACCCTAAACCCACTAACCCCTAGAACCTGGCCAAAAGTCCCAAAAATCCTGAAAGCTCAGCCCATGAGCTTCTAGCAGGTACCGACCAGTCCACTCAGTCGCGGCGTGAGAGCGATCGAGGCCTTTAGGGTTTAGGATCTTTTGGGTTTAGGGTTTAGGGTTTAGGGTTTAGGGTTTAGGGCTTAGGATCTTTAGGGGTTCAGGGCTTTGGGGTTTGGTTTTAGGGGTTTTAGGATTTAGGGTCTTGGGGCTTAGGGATTGAGGATTTTAGGCTTTAGGGTTTAGGGTTTTAGGGTTTAGGGTTTAGGGTCTTAGGGTTTTAGGATTTAAGGTTTAGGGTTTAGGGTCTTAGGGTTTAGGGCTTTAGGAATTTAGGGTTTAAAGATTTAGGGTCTTAGGGTTTAGGGCCTAGGGCTTTAGGATTTTAGGGTTTAGGGTTTAGGGTCTCAGGGTTTAGGGCTTTAGGGTTTAGGGTTTAGGATTTTAGGGTCTAGGGTGATGGCAGGACTCTTCGAGTCCTGTGGCGTGGTTAGCCAGGCGTTCAAGGTTGTGGGCAATGGTGTCGAAGCCCAAGTTAGCTTCTGGTTTTGAAAAGAGAAAATGCTTGCAAGAAATAACAATGCCAAACACAAGGGATTGCCAACACGTGCAAATGAGTTTTCTATCACAACATCTTCACCTAACCCTAGACCCTAAACCCCTTCTCTGTATTTTCCGCAGTTTTCTTGAACCCAGGACCCCAGAGTAGGGAAAACCCTGAAACCCCAAAACCAGATCCTAGCCCGCGGAAACCTCCCATGAAGCATAATACTGTACACCCTAAGAGCCGTAAGCCCCCAAATATTTTCAATCACTGCAAAACGCCCTAAACCCACAATGCCCTAAACCCTAAACCCTAAACCCAAAATGACCTAAACCATTAACTCCCCAAGAAGCCGCAAGCCGAATTTAAGAACTTCTACAGACTCTACAGAACCCGGACAGCACCCCCTTCAACCCTTGTCCAACCCGCGCCGTGTAGACTCCCTGTAAGACCCTGACGAAAGGAACCCTTACAGGAACCCCACACCACGCCCTAAACCTGCTTGAAAAATCTTAAACCCCTGAAAAAACCCCCTAAACCTTTCACCCGAAATCCTAAACCCTAAACCCCAAGCCGGTGTAGAAGACAACGAGCCGGTAGGTCGCAGTCGAAGCCGCAGTCGTCGGCGCAGCCGGCGGTGATAGCGAAGCACTGGAGGGATCCGGGTACTTCGTAGGGCCGTAGGGAGTTATAGCCTCTTTGCTGACTAGCTTGTTTAGATAGGGTCTGTGGGTTTGCAGCTTTTTCACAAAGTTTTTAGGGCTTCATAGAGGATGGGGTTTTAGGGCCTCCAAAGGGTTTAGGATTTCGGGTTTTAGGGTTTAGGGTCTAGGGTTTAGGGTTTAGGGGTTGGAAAGTCCGGTTTCTTGCATTTCGGGTTGCACGTGGCATTCTCTTGTGCTCACAGAGGTTATGTGTGTCTGTGTGTGCAAAGGTTCAATATACTTATGTATGTGCGTAGAGACATAGTGTATGTTGGTGTGTGTATGTACGTACGTATGTATGTATGTATGTATGTATGTATGTATGTATGTATGTATGTATGTATGTATGTATATATGTATGTAAGCATGTATGTGTGTATATATATGTATATAAGTATATATATATATATATACATACACACACCTCTACAGAGGGTTTGAAAAGTTTGTCGGTGTTACATCTGAGGTGAATTCAATTCCGGCTTGTAGTCCCACTTGTAACCTACCCTACATCCCAAACTCTAAATGCAAAAGCCTAGCTTTCAATTCCTAAACCCTGAACAGTTTCTTACTAGTACGAAGTCCCATGACCCTTGCAGCAGAGGGGTTGTGAGTTTACAGCTCGAAGGCAGCGGAAAAAAGTCGAAGCTCGAGAGTGTTAGGGTTTAGGGTTTAGTGCCTGTTTCGGAAAGGTACCATAACCCCTAAGCCCTAAGCTTCATTTGCTCGTGGTTTGTCTTCAACCCTAAACCCTAATCCTTATCCCTAAACCTAAACTCGAAACCCCAAATCCTTATCCCTAAGCCGAAACCCTAAACCCTAAATCCGTATCCCTAAACCTAAACCCTAAAACGCTAAATCGCATGCGCTGCAAAACTCCTTTACTGGCCTTTCCTTCGAGATGGAAGCCCGCGAGCCCTCAAGAACACTGACCCGTTTCTTTCTGTTTGGGGATCAGGGTTTCGGGATTTAGGGCTTAGGGATGAGGAGTTTAGGGTTTCGGGTTCAGGGTTTTAGGGTGCAGGTTTGTAGCTTTGGGTTTAAAGCTCTAGCAGTTGCAATTGTGTCTGAATATCTAGCGTCGTTCCCAGCCCACTTGATGCATTGACGTGCCGTCGAGATTCGGGGCTCGTGCAATAGCCAGCAACGCAGTAGAGAACTGTAAACCCTAAACCCCTAAAC